AGTGTCCTGCACAACGGCACCCAGTCAGAGTTCTTCCCCATCCAAACAGGGGTTAAACAAGGGTGTGTACTGGCACCAACTCTCTTTTCCATCTTTTTGGCAGCCTTCCTTACTCATGCCAGTGCCAATTTAGCCAGCGGGGTGAACATCGAGTACCGGGTGAAGGGGGTCTTTTCAACATAAGACAACTCCAGGCAAGAACAAAGGTGTCGGAAGCTCCATTACTGAACTTCAGTATGCAGACGACCTCACCCTTGTTACTCACACTGAACACGACATACAGGAGATCCTCAACACCTACGCAGACACGTATGCACACTTCGGCCTTGAGGTGATGGTACGTAAGACTCAGATTATCTTTCAACCTGCCCCACACACCTCCACCATCCATCCAGCTTAACGGTACTACCCTCTCTAATGTTGCTCACTTTCGGTATTTCGGCTCCCACCTGTCTACCACCACAGACATCAATGAAGAGATTCAGCATTGGATCAGATGTACATCTCAAGCATTTGGCAGACTCCGAAATCATGTCTTCAGCTGTAGGGAGCTGAAATTATCTACAAAGCTGCATGTATATCGAGCAGTGGTCCTCCCCACCCTGCTATATGGCAGTGAGACATGGGTCACATACAGAGGCACCTCAAGGCACTTGAAAACTTTCACCAATGTAGTCTATGTTCCCTCCTCTGAGTTTGCTGGGAAGACAAGAGAACAAATGCCAGTATTCTTGCTGACACCAACTGTAGAAGTATTGAGGCTACCATCATTCATGAACAACTACGTTGGACTGGCCATGTTACCCACATGGACGACAGTAGACTGCCAAAGCAGTTACTTTACAGTTACCTAACAAATTGTAAACGTAACGCCGGCGGGCAATTGAAAAGGATAGTAAGACAAACTTGAAAAAGTGCCAAATCGATCCCCTCACCTGGGTGTCAATTACTCCACATCGTAACGCTTGGTGGAGCACCACACAAGAAGGTGTCAATACTTTCAAATTAGCCTGACTGCAAACCGAGGCAGACAAGCGCCAACGCCAGAAAGACACTGTCACCGCCCCTCCCGCAGTAGATGGAGCCCTCCACATGTGCAATGAATGTGAACGACACTGAGGGTCCCGTATCGGTCTCTTTAGTCACCTCAAAACTCACCAACCTAGGTGACATCCCTAATAACTCATATCATTGTATCATAGCTGGATGATCGTCATACTCAATTCCGAGTAACAGCAAAGTAGTAGAAGTAGTAGTAGTAGTAGTAGTAGTGTGTGTGTGTGTGTGTGTGTGTGTGTGTGTGTGTGTGTGTGTGTGTGTGTGTGTGTGTGTGTGTGTGCGTGTGCGTGTGTGTGCATGTGTGTGTGTGCATGTGTGTGTGTGCATGTGTGTGTGTGCGTGTGTGTGTGCATGTGTGTGTGTGTGTGTGTGTGCATGTGTGTGTGTATTCCTACTGAATGTTTCAATCCTTTCCTGTTGCTTTCTACACATACCTCACACCTTTCTCCCTTACCCTTTTGAAGTTTCTACATTCTCTGACCGATTCAACACAAAAGTGGGAAACTGGTAAAGGTAATAAATAGTTAGATAAAGGGATAGATAGAAATTATTTCATCATTTATGATATGACAGAAGCCATTTAAGGTGTATATGAAGGAGACAGAATATTCAATATGTTAAAGAAAGGCAGTACAGTATGGACTTAACTGAACTATACAGCAACAAAAATAACAATGAAAATTGTAATTTTCATAGTCATCGGGACCAATGTTATCATCTCTCCAAAGGTCTACTGCTGAAGGAGATACCCTGACAGAAAACTGTGAGGATTAGTGGCCACCAGCAAGTGCACCACAGCCTTCAACCTTCTCGGAGACATGATACAATGCTACACCTTCTGGTATTAGGAGGTGTCATAAAAAACAGTGAAGGTGGGAAGACACCTTTGTTACAAGACCATCAGGAATAGAGAAATGTCCCTCATATATAACACAACTACTTGCTTTCCTTGCAGCCATGAGCAATCTCTTAATTTAGATAGAATATAATTCTGTCACCCTTATGATAAACAAGATTTGGTTACATCAGAAGCAGAAAAAGAATTCATAACCAGAATTAGAAATACAAAAATACAAATATAATTTGGTCAGCTTTCTTATTCTCTGAACATCATGGAATTATGGTAAGTGTAAGATATAATGTCATATGGGGGGGACACACAACAATCCCATATATTGTATTGTAGACCCCCAAAACTATAATCTCAGTAAGTCAATAAAGTACCTTTCAGAGCATTATCCAAGTCACTTTAACACTTTGCTTTTTTAAACTAGAAAGAACAGTGAACATCAATGTATCGGTAAAATGATGCCTACACCTTGAAACACTCTTTATACCAAAACCTTGAGGAACAAAAGGAAATTAATAGATTTTATGGAATAAAACATGGCATAATACATATACGTAGTTCAGTAATATAGACAGTTTTAAGACTTTAAGGTTAGGAACTAGAAGTGAGTCAACCAGGTGAAATGTGTGGAATACAAGAAAGGAACAGCATGGTGAAATGTGCCATAAATATTATCTACATAAAGAATAAATTAATGTTAGTAGACCATGCAGTATATGAGAACAGATGAAGACAAAATACAATAAGAACGAAGAAGACTGATGCTGGCAGTGACTCACCAGACCCACCTTGCATTTTGACATTACACTCCAATAAAATCTGATGGAGATCTCACATCCTAAATATGCCTATGATGATCTGTGAATGCTGCCACAAGGTATCTTCATGCAATGTCGCATTATGTCTGCTGAAAATAAAAGAATTATGGGTAAAAACCTTCTTCCAAACATTCATTTTACCTCGGACCTACGTATAATGTTATAAAAACCCTGAGCCATAAGTCTATGCCATCCGATAAAAGATGCTGTCAATAACTTTGTGCTTTATAACTGATCTGATCATCTTAAATGATTGAAATTTAAGGAAACTCCAAATAATAAAGGTATTTATGTTTTCCACATACCAGACTGAGGATCTAAATAAAAAATACTGTAAACAAGTAAATGTATGGAGTGTGAGTGTGTGTGTTTTGGTTCTTGTGTCTAGCCACTCTGCATTAAGCAAGAAAAAGGCTTAAAAAAGGGTAAAAATAAATAAATAAATAAATACATAACATTAACAAAATGTCTGTGTTTTTTCCCTCTCAATTTAAACAAAATCAACTTAACAATAAGAAAGAAAATCACAGGTATAATATACACCTTTGCCCTAATGACCTTCACCATCTATATAGTTTTTTAATTGGCTTGGATTATAAGTGTTGTAAGAGTAGTGTCCCTCACGAAGCAATTAAACCCACAAATATCAACTTGAGAACGGTAAGCCTCTTTGATCCATCAGTGATAAATTGGGACATTTTCCATGCTTCACAGAATATAGGCAATTCATTAAATAACTTAAATGCTCACACAGTCTTGTAGTACATTCAAACATGGGAACATTTATGGTTACTGGAGAGAATAAATTTTCTATATATCTTATACATGAACAATTATATCATTCAATAAATTATTATTTTAAAATACTAAAATTTAGCAATATACTAAAAATACACTTTAAATAAAAAAAAAATATTAAGATCCTTTTTCAATTTTCACAGGTGATAATTTTTTCTTTTGTGTTGATTTTTGTCCCTTTGTCCGCTCAGTTTCCAATTTCCTACGGCAGGGTTTGACCATCTCGGCCAATTCGGGAGTCACTTCTTCACTGGGCTCTGTTTTGGGTTCCAGTTTCACAGGAGACTTGTAGTTTGTAAGTTTCACATTTGAAAACACAACCTCTTCATCATCTAGTTCTTTAAGAGTGCCCTTGAGGTAGTCACGAAACTTGCGAAGTGCTGAATAGAAGGGGACCTTATCTAAAGCTCTTGGTAGTTGTGCACATCTGGCTGAGGAGGATGGCATAACCCAAATATGCTGCAAAGGTAAATCAATGAATTTACACAGTGAATATTTATACAAATTCATCAATATTATCTCACTCGGGTAAAGTGTACAGTACAGGTGCTCTTCTACTTACGAACATTCAACTTACAAATTTTCAGAAATATGAAAAATCTCTCCATATATCCATTAAACTTATCCCCCGTATTCGTGAACGTTACAGTCTTGGAAACTGTTGCAAATCGTGACTTCACAAATACTGAATTTAATACCTTATGGAAAAAATAGGGTATGATATCATAGTTACCAAAGTAAATATTTTTGTCATAATATTTTGGGTTCGGGAAGATAAATGTTTCAGAGATGGTGTTGACGTTTATATGAAGTAAGTTTTTGTAATATAAATTAATAAATTTTAACACAAATAATTGTTTTCTCTGCGTATAATTCAAGTCTGGGTACGTTTTCTTTAATACAGAGCAAAAGTGTAAAAATTATAATAAAGATAGTACAATACTCTTATGTAGCTTACAAATAAATAAAATAGAATATAATACAGTACTATAAAATAAGAAAAATGAAGACCATAGCTGTATGCATGGGAGGTGAACATATGTGTGGAGGCAGTGAGCTGTACTGCATCACTGACTAACTAACCCGTGTCCATCCCACCAGTCTGACGTCACACACACACCTGGTTGAACCATGTGGCATCACCCAGTTGATGGTTTGAGTGTGGAAAGAGCTATTTTTTGCACATAAAATATGTGCTATTGTATATTATGATATGCTATGTATCAATTTTACTATTTACCACAAAAATTTTTTAATGAAGCAGTTATTAAGCCACTGGTGGTAGACACATAAATGAATGACTTCAGTTGCATTGGGATTGTTGGACTAAATTAGAACTTTTACTGAACAGGACCAAAATGGACAAAATTCAGATACCTGAAAGATTCAGATAGTTGGAATTTGGTAAAAAGGAATTGCATTATAAATTAAATAACATCTCCAATATTGGATTTACTGTAAAAGTGGAGACATTCTCCATAATAATAATAATTAACGGTTTACTGAAAGAGCATGGCAGCCGGAAGGCTGAAAATATATAATTACATAATTGGGGAATGGTTCTCTTGATTTACAAATGATGTAAAAGTAACACAAGTGATACAAATATGATATATAATAATTAGGTGTTGATAATTTTTACAATGGTTGGAACTGGGCTGTTCTGTAGCAATCAGTTCGTGCTCGTATGGGCTGGATGCTGTTGGGCAGGTGTGTGGCCACGTGGCTAGGACAGTAGCTTGGGGCAATGCAGGTGTGCTCCATCCTTCAGGTTAGGTCAGGTGAGGCCGTGAGGTCAGGTCAAGTTAGGTCAGATCCAGCTACAATCAGTATTGCTGTGTTTTTGTGCTTTTCCTTCGAGTTGAAATTGCCACTTTTGTATGTCACTTGTGGGTTGATCGTCAGTCTTTGCACTGTACTGTTGGTGTGAGGATGTTGATAAATCCAGATGGGAAAGCGGAGATGGGGGAGGGGACGGCCCGACAGACCAGGCTGGCAGCTGTCTCCATGATCAAGAGACCACGGCCGCGTTAGCGGGCAGCACCGACTACACACGTCCTTACCCTGACATGAATGAGGGAGGTTGTAGGTGTGTTACTGGGTCACTACTGCTGGAACCAAATTTTACCAAGGGGTACTGAATATTCCTTCTGGTTCCGTAGATACTCTGTGATGCAATATACAATAGGATCTCAAGTTTAGCGAGTTTTAGATTTGCGATTCATATTTTTCAAGTCACTTTTAAAATTTCCAGCCTCTCAAGAATAGTGATTTCATTACCAATTTCGCGAATCATTCTTGAGTGGACAGCGTGCATTGTCACGGTCCTTTGTTATCCGTCGACCCGCCGAGTGTTTTTTGTTTACGGCGTAACGGCAGTTAGTTTGAATGAGCAAGCGGTGCAGTGACCTTGGATTATATAACCCATTGTGCTTACATTTCGCGAGATTCTTGTTTAACTATTAACGATTCTTGTGTATTAGTGATTCTGACAGTGACCAGGTTCTACCAGCTAACCAGGAGGAGGAGGAGGAGACGGTAGACGACCTGACTCCAAGCACCTCACCACCCCACAAGTGTGAAGTGTTATCAGTTTGTGAATTTTGGAAGAAATATAATATTAAAAATGCAGTGGACAGAATTGTTGAGGCATGGCGTAAGATTAATGTTGCAACAGTGCTACACGCATGGAAGCCTTTCTTCGCTAACTCCGAGATAATTGGGGTAGAACAGACGGCGGCAAGCGGAGAGAGGCAGTCCATGGCGGCAACACTAATGGACACAGCGGAAGCAGCGCACTCAGTCCCAGCACCGGTATTTTCGGAAGTTCAGGTTGAAGATTTGCAAGAAATCGTGGGTCAACATCAGCAGCAATGTACAATTGAAGAAATTTTGGAGGATAATGAAGAAGAACAGTAACCAACACAAGAGGTTGACGTTAAGCCTGGTGAACCTACAACAGGCCAGCTGACAGAGTTGGTCCCAAACATTGCACGTCTCAGTGAACAGCTAGAAGAATACGATACCGGGCCTCATCCTCGGAACCTTATGTGCTCTGCCCTTGATAAGGGTATGGAGGAAAATAAGGCCTTGTACATGTCCTGTGTTAATGCTGGTCAGCAGGCCCTTATTACTCGGTACCTGGGCAAGGCCTAGCCTGTTAATGCCTTGGCAAACATAACTTTAGGAGATGATGATGGCACCACCAATGATGATATCGATGTGTTGGGTGACTTACTGGTGGAAGAGCTGCCTCAAGACTTTGAGGGATTTGATGCTGAGGTTAGAGGAGGGAGCAGGGAGGAAGCGGTAACCAGCCCTCCCTGCCTCGGAACCCATCAACCAGCCCCGTCAAGCATTTCACGGATTCCATCGAGGTAAGTTATTCTACAGTATGAGTGTATATAAATAATGTTATCAACAATATGTACAATATAATATGTCTGAATACATTACTGTAATGTCGTTTTCTTGGTGGGTTGTAGATCATTATAGGGGGGTTTGGGTGACACCGCAGAACTGATTAGGCTTATTTATATGTGTTTCAATGTCACTTGTTTCACAATTTTAACTTTTGCGACATGAGATCCTACAGTACTGTATAGTACCTTATACCCACAACATTGGGGTATTATACAGCACCCCCTCTTCCAGCATACATGTACTGGGTGGAGATGGAGGAGAGTGTAGCACACACAAGAGAATTGACTAACCACAGTGTATGTGCGAGAGATGTGCCTCTGCCAACGGTCAGTCAAAAAATTTATATCAGCCTCGTGGATAGCTGAATTTCGATCACAAATCTTGAATAAAGGGCCACTAATAATTTTTTGTGAATAAGTGAATTTGCAAAACTGTTTATTATAAATTTAAAAAAATTCATATGCTGGGAAAAAATATTGTTGAGTAACGTGCTGTATTAATTATTGGGTTATATAGCTGTACTGTACATTTTTTTTTTACAATGTTAGGTATCTACAACAGTAAAGTTGGACTTGCAAACATGCCTCAGGAACACAACTCATTCGTAAGTAGAGATGTACCTGTACAGGTATTTCTAAGCATTTCAAACACATAACCTTAATTCCTTACATTTTTATATGCCCATTCCCACAATCTGTGGTGTGACAACCCTCAAACAAGAAAATTTAGTTTAAGCCATGGCATGTCTGTGGCTGGTAGTCACAGCAGCACAAAGTGTAGCTCCAACAGAGCCATGGGAATGAACACACACCTCAGAGACTGGGAGTCCACAGCACTACCAACAGAGCCGTGAAGCCTTTTTTAATATGCATTAGTATCAATTCATCAATATTTTTTCAATCTAAAATAAAAATATACACAGAACAAAGTTATGATGAAAGCTGAATGATTTATCATAAGCATGACAGTAGTAGTTCAAAAACATCCTGAATATTCAAAGATAATAAAAACTTATATTACTCACTGTGTTCGTGCCTTCGACTAATTCTGGTTGTTTTCCAAAACAGAACTGCTTTTTACCAGAATATATTTCATAGATTCCTTTGCCATTGAACACAGCTATAAGAGGCTTATACTTCCTCAGCTTGGATCGCAGAATCTCCCCACCTGTGAATGTTATACATACATTTATGTTGAATCACATAAGATGAAATGCAAAAGAGTAACACAGGTAGTGACTCTTATCTATGGAGAACAAATTCTTCCCTTTAAACAGTCTGGATACCTATTATGAAATACTACCTGGAGAACAATAAAACCTACCACACATTACTCTAACCAAGTTGTTTAAATTTGAATCTGTACTTCACAAGAAGTTGAATACTGAAAAAATAATAAGTATCTACAACAAAGCAACTATATAAAGCACGCAGGTAATGAATATACTGTACAGTACAGTACTTGTAATGCACTGAGAGTATGAATGATAACAACAAATGAAGTGGTATATATCAGAGACTTGCCATGAACTGTAATGTACCACAACAAGGTTTCCACACACACGGTATTACAATTTTGTTTTCCATGATTTTTTTCAAGTCCACTTACTGATTTTCTACAATCAAATTGCTTAATGGCTTATAAGCTATCATAACCTGCTGTATGTGCCGCAAATAATGTGAAGGGTAAAGGTATAAATAAACACAGATTATTTCAATAACATATACAGTATTTACTAATTACTGAATAACAGATAAACAATATTGTACCATGAATGACAGTCATTTGATGAGCAAGTGTGAGATACAGTGTGTGTGGGAGGAGGGAGGCAGGATTGGTGCTAATCTATCTCTGTATCACTGAAATTATGATTTAGGTGGTGATAATAGAGGTAGTGGTGATGATGATGAAGGTGGTGGTGGTGGTAAGGAAGATTGTGGTACCCGTACCGGGTAAGTTGTAAGGAGGTGATGCGTTTATCAGTTTCTTTGGTAACACTGCGCCTGCAGCACTGCCAGACGCTACTGAACACCTGATATCTACCCACAAAATTGAGTGTCAATAAAAATGAGCAACGTCGTATCCGTTCAACATTACGTTACACAGCATTTTAAAATATGGCATGAGAAACCAGAAACGTGGGGGTGATTAGAGAGGTGAAGTGGAAGGGAGTGGCATGGGAAGGTATAGGATAGTATGAGAAAGTACTATGTAAGAGAATGATGTGTGGCAAGAACTAGAAATACAATAGCAAATTTATAACAAAAAATAAATACAATACTGTATAGCGACCTTTCTTAATCTCGTCTCGTGTAAGATCAGAGGAGCCCCGGGTTGTACGGGACACAATATTAGTGAAGCCAATGCCATACTCTAGTAACCGGAAGTCATCATAAGCTGTGAAGGGTTCTGGGATGAGCCCCGACAGAAACATACACTTCCCTGAAACAGAAACATCAGACCTGCCTTAAACATTTAGTCGTGTTTGACAGATATTATGAAAGTTATAAGACAGTCTTTTAAAGAAACTCAACAAAACAATAATAATAGAGTAATCTGGATCATTATCATATAAATCAAAATTAAGAATGAGGAACATCAGGCAGAAATATTTATAACCTTCCATATAAACTTTAGACAAGAGACATTTCTTCTCTGAAGCAGTAAATTGTTGCTTAATTATCTAAAAATTAATTAGATCATAACAAAAACTTACTAAACAAACTAAAACATTGATCAAGAGTATCACTGTGAGGGCAGGTGAGTGCATACAGGTTAATTCTACCTGAAATTAATGTAAACAATCATCATTATACATAACTAACAAATCAATCACTGTTGGTGAGGTAGAGTGAAGATGCCTGTGTTTTTCCTACTGGAGAGATGTTTGTTCACAAGCTTATCATATTTTGAACAGAAAATACTGTAAGTGCAACTCCTCTGAAAAGTTTGCCAGGTTATGAAATGTAGACCAAAAGTCACCCTGAGGGAACCACACTATTAGGAGGGAGAGAGCACTAAACTATTATACACTATACAATACTTAAAAGTAAAACAAGCATCTAAAAATGTAACAATCCACTTTATCTACTGCCAGTAACTAAACACAGAAGCATAAGCCAATAAGACATGCAAATATAAACCAAAGAAACAAAACAGAGAGACAGATAAACAGAAAAAAGGTCAATATGTATCCAACTGTTAAGTGTTTTGGGGACACAAGAAAAACACATTCAAGATCAGTTAAAAATATTTACCTTCTTACTAAAAATCAATACATTGTTAACATAAAAAATTAATAACACCGTACACTAAATAACAAGGAAAAGAAAACTATATACCTGTACCCAAGTCTCAATGATTTTTTCTTCCTGCTTTGATGTAGGGTAGATAAAGGGATACAAAAAGTTTGATAAACAGGAGGAGGGGATAATGGAGAGGGCTGGTATAAAACAAATGTAGAAAGAGATAGGAGAGGGGTAAATTAAAAGCAGAAATATCTACTTATACTTGCTCATACACAAAAGACATCAACAGTTAAAACACACACCTACACAGCATAAAAATAAGTCGATACTACTCACAGAAATGGTTGCCAGGTCCTGCATAATGATGCCCCTTGTGGGCTGCAAAGAGCCCAGGATTTATGCCAATCTGGGATAAGAATTGAGAGTTGAAAATAGTTTCAAGAATAAATTACACCGCCAATACAGAATTTAATAATTGTTGCTGTAATGAATCATACAGCCAATTTGTAATTTAAAGTAGTTATGGTTGTTACATAAGAGAGTCAATCTAGAATTCAAAATAGTTATGATCACAAACATTGCAGCCAAGTGAGGGTAAAATCCCCTTCCGACCCACTCATCATTATGCATAATCAAGCATAAATAGCTATAAATTTCTTGTGAATATGGTCAAATCTTTCTTTCAAAAATACTTAAGTCTACCCTATCCAAGCATTGTGAGATTAATACTTAGAAAACATTATTAATGTGGAAACAATTCTTCTCTAAGCACAAAGTACTACTAGAACCACGGTAGTGCTTTAATTTCTGAAATAAAATACTTTCTTTTTCACTCCAGCACACTGTTTCTCACACAGAAGTAAAATCTCCAATACTTTTGCAAGGCATAGGTTCTACTATGCCATGATCACCCATAATCTATCTGGTTTACCCAATCTTTCATCAACTATAAGGCATTGTGGACATGTTGACAAACTATAACATCTACAATGAGGGGATCATATAATATAAAGGCTTTCAAAAGGTTTGTATAAAGAAAAGGAAAATATGACTTTTTGTTTACAAGAACAATAGCTATTTAGAACACCAATTACAACTGGTTTTGCCCTCTTCTTTTTATGGTACAGTACTTCCATAATCACTAACAGAAACAATGAAAAAGACAAGAACTTACAATAAGTATTTCCATGTTATTTCCTAAATGGTCTGGTAGAGTCTTCTTGACAACTTCTTCTTCAGGTATGCCATTAAATCGGTCTATCTTCTTTCTTTGTTTGAGGGGAGATGGAAGCGGCTTTCCATCAGGTCCCAGTTCAGGTGCAGACCTCTTGGTTGTCTCGGTGGCTGATTTTGTTGAAGAGTTAGACCTGCAAACATGTAACACTTTTGTCAGTTTTCATTAATGATCATGTTATTATTTTGTGCCTTTCCCATATTCCTGTCATCACTTCACTCAAGGGGCATCCTATAGCCACTGATCATTTCATTTCGGTCACCATCTTATCCCAATGACCATCGTCCTTTAGAAACTCCCTTATTCCAGTGAAAAACTTGCACCAGTAACCACAATACTGTATTCTGTAGTTGCCTATACAGGTACAGTAGAACTTCAATATAACGCGAGATACTAGATACGTTCCAAGAGAGGTCGCTTTAAACTGAATTCGCACTAAATCGAAGTGCTGTTTTAATGGAATAATTTAGTTTGGTACTTGAGAGAAACACAAAACACTAAAAAGACTGACAGTCTACCCAGATGCACCTCAGCCCATCTCCTAGAATAAACAGAACATTATTTTTTGTAGTATTATGTTAAAACAAACACTCATAAATCAACACAGCTAAAATTAAGGGATGTGAAATGGTCTGTTTACTGGCTGGGAAGATTGGGGGAAGGGAGGGAGGTGAGATGATATGTTTGACAGTTGATGCCAAGGTCTAGTGCTTATATATTTATCTGTCCTTAAGAGTGACTTTAAGTTTTTTCTTATAAAATGTCACTGAAATGACTTGGGAGAATATAATTAACATTGCTGGAATTCTTATAAGACAGTGATTAATATGAATATAAACATTTTATAGCTCGCATTAGACATACAAATTTTAGTTCTAATTTAAGAATTTTACTACAAAGAGCAAATTTTTTTATCTCGTGTGCAAAATATATGACATTTATATTCAAATTATTCGCTGTCTTGCAAGGATTCCAGCAATACAAAGTATATTATCCTAATTTTAGTCTGTGATATTATAGAAAAATAAAAACGAAAGATAAAAACTTTAAGCCTAAAGCACCAAACCCTGGCTGGGAAGCTGGGGGGAGGGAGGGGAGGGGAGGAGGACATGTTTGACAGTTGGCGCTGAAGGTCTAGTGAAGTATTTATTTGTTTATTTATGTCCTTTAGCTTGAGTTATAAAATGTCACAGAAGTGACCAGGGAGAATATAATTTACATTGCTTGAATTCTTATAAGATAATGATTAATTTGAATATAAACATGCTGTAGTTTACACTAGACAAAAATTTTGGTAATCATATGATGCACCAGATTGACTTGCGCAAAATAGGAAAGATTCGCTTTAAATTAAAACATTGTCCTTAATTGTGAGTGTCACTTTAAATCAATAACCTTAAATTGAATCGCATTAAATCAACGTTCTACTGTACTAATAAATACTTCAATTACATAAAGCTCAATATTCTTTAGTTTCTGAACGTTGTTCTTCAATTCACCTATGTTTTGAAATAACAAAAGACTAAGTGACAGACTTCTTAAGCTCTTAGATACAACACTAAACAACTGTTAACTCACTCATCTTCTTCCAGTTTGATTTTAGGCTTCCGTCCCCGTTTCCTGGGCTTTGGAACTTCGGCATTTTCCTGCTGCGGTGAGCCTCTGTCAACACTCTCAAGAGACTGTCCCTCCAACTTCCACCCGGCAGCACCATTAATGAGGCTTTGCTCCTGACCATACATACCAATATTTAAGGGATTGTCTATAACTGCATGACTGAAGTATGGACTAGTATGTAAATGAAGGTCAACTTGCTGTTGTTGTGGAGGAAAATATTCTTGTTTGATGCAGATATTCTGAAACAGTTGGGCTTCCTGGCTCTCTCCATCTTGCCAATCACATTTCTCCTGCTTTACACTGTCAAACACAAGAGGGGTACAGGTGTAGGTGGTAATAACAGCAAAAGAATTTTTCCTGTGAGCATATTCTCTAAAATTAAACATGTTTAATTTTCAATTCCAAGAGAAACGGTGTTTTTGGCCAAAGTGATAACCAAGGAGGTAGATTAGCCTTGCCATCTGAGCTAAAAATTTAAAAACAATTACTTTTATTCAAAATCTCAATATAGAAACACATTAATGTAACTTACTTGAATATTCCTTTGTCACATTAACTACTTCCTCATCCATGACTCTAGTAATTCACTTTATCTGTTTTGACTATTGTTTTAAGCCTCCCTAATATAGCAAGGATCAAGCAAATTTCAAACAGCTTTCAAAACTCTGTGTGTGTGTGTGTGTGTGTGTGCGTGCTTCAGAAGAGTCAAAGGATTTATTATTCCTCAATACTGTATTCCTCAAACACATACTCTATTATGTATTAGATGGATTGAATGAGAGGATCATCAAATATTAGGATTATATCAGCTGATTGTGTTATGAGAATAATACAGAAATTGTGATTGGTTAAGAATTATGAGCAGAAGTGGATGGTAACGAAGTAACTTTTATTTCCTTATTGTCCATCACTGTTGACAGGAGGGACTATTAGGTAATGGTGGGGAATTAAAGGTAAGGGGGAATTAATGGGTTGGACTCAGAAGTAGCACCAGGACCCGAGCTGTCTCTCCCGGGCCTGTGCACCACATCTACTGAAACAATACCCGAACACTACTGTACATTGACAAAGGGGAAAAATTTAAAACTTACCCAAGTAATGCTATTTCTGAATCATGGAAGCCATTTTGGTGATGTTGGTCAGGAGGAACCTGCATGGGGGTTAGTGTGGTAAGGCCATCTGCAGGCTGTGCAGGTTGCATGGGTGTTAGAGAAGTCAAGCCCTCTGAAGTGTTCACAGTATCCCTGAGGAAGAATTCTTGTAAATTTACAGGGAAACATAACTTCAGGAAGAACTTAGTCATGATTATTCTTCATCTCTCCACTTCTGCTACCATGAAAAAACATCAATATAAATTTTTATCTCAGAAGCCTTTACCTCAAGAAAGACAGGATACCATGCACAGTAGTCCAATGAGGTGATGTCATTCCATTAGAATGCGTCGAACACTTCCCGTCTAAATTAACTTTCTCGGCTATTGCTCAAACACCCAACCTATGGTTTTTTGTAATCACATCTCACACTTTTTCAATGTTGTCATCGGTAATTGCAGTGAGTATATGGCCTGGGAGGTCATCATCTTTCACAGTTTCTCTACCTTCCGAAAATCGTTTGTGCCATTCAAAAACGCGTGCACGAGACATGCAATCTTCACCATAAGCCTCAGTCAACGATTTAAAAGTTTCCGTCGCGGATTTCTTAAGATTAACGAGAAACTTGATGTTAACTCATTGCTTAGTTTTGCAGTCCAACACGCATCCACTTGTAGGGAGTGAAGCGATCGAGTTGAGCCTGTGACAGGTCAGAACATGTTCAACAACTCTCTGTTTGTCCCTCCCCTCCCACTCTTGGTTCCCGAGTTATAGGGTCAGTCTCTTTATTTTTGTGTCGGACCTCGTGCAGTCGGCCCTTAACATACGCGGGTTTAGCATACACGGATTTGCAAATACGCGGATTGCCCCGCCGGAGGAATATTCTGTACATTGAAGTAATTGAAGTACATTCAAATCGCGCCCCATTCAACCCGCGCGCGGCACCGAACACAGGACACCGCCCACTCCCGCAACCTCACACGCACATGCATAGCTCTCCCTCACTCAGTCAGTCTCGCTGTAACCACGCTTGTGTTGACATCAGCATTGTAGTTGCAAAAATATTACATTTCCGTGAATGTATTATATCAAGCACAGTATGAATAGAATATCACTAGTATAACAGTATTTTAACCGAAAACTATTAAAAAACAAGTAACATATCTTGAACATCGGAAGGTTAGGTAAAGTCTTTTGTTTTCATGTAGCTTATCCTAATTTACATTGAAATACAATACATTTCAGCAAAACTACTATTTATTTCTGAGAATATGGAAATGTAATATTTTTGCTGAAATGACGTACGTATTACAGTGGAAAGTGACGAAAGCAATGACTTTCGCTTTCTTTCGTTCAAAAGATGTTACCGTAATCACTTTTCGAATGGTTTTCAGTTAAAAAACTTTTGTATTACAATAATATTCTATCCTAATTCACTTGTGATGCAACAGTTTTTTTAACTGAAAATCATTCGAAAAGTGATTACGGTAACATCTTTTGAACGAAAGAAAGCAAGTCATTGTTTTCGTCACGATTTTATCCCACTTTCCACTGGAATACGTACGTCATTTCAGCAAAAATATTACAATTCCTTGAATGCATTATATCAAGCACAGTATGAATAGAATATCAATGTAATATAACAGTATTTTAACCGAAAACTATTATAAAAACGAGTAACATCTCTTGAACATCGGAAGGTTAGGTAAAGTCTTTTGTTTTCATCATGTATTTTATCCTATTTTACATTGAAATACATCACGTTTCAGCAAAACTACTATTTATTTCTGAGAATATATTCATTCGGGCGCAGTTTAGGTAAAATATACATGTGATGTAACATTTGTTTAACTGAAAATTATTCGAAAAACACGTACCCTCTAGCCCTGTTCAAGGAGAAGACTGGGAGGAGCTGTTTGGTGTTGAAGACGATGACAAGGAAAATGATTTTGATGGATTTTAATGAAAATATTCAGAAATATGGTATCGTAGTATTTATTCAAGTGAATTAGGATAGAATATTATTGTAATACAACAGTAGTGACGATGTGTAGGAGGCAGAGGGATAGAGCAGGGAGGAGGCGGAGGGATAGAGCAGGGAGGAGGCGGAGGGATAGAGCGGGGAGGAGGTGACTGGCGGGAGCAGGGACGAGTGGAGATGCCAGCCAGTACATCACGGGTGTATTAATTGTTTTTATAGCTATTTTTGCATTTTAATATTAAATACTGTACATTACGTTTCAACAAAACTACCATTTATTTCTGAGAACATGAAAATGTAATATTTTTGCTGAAATGATGTACGTATTACAGTGGAAAGTGGGATAAAATTGTGACGAAAGCAATGACTTTCTCTTTCTTTCGTTCAAAAGATGTTACCGTAATCGCTTTTCGAATGGTTTTCAGTTGTGGGATTATAAGGCTAATGATAGGATAGAATATTATTGTAATACAGTACGAGTACAACAGTTTTTTAACTGAAAACCATTCGAAAAGCGATTACGGTAAAATCTTTTGAACAACGAAAGAAAGCGAAAGTCATTGTTTTCGTCATGATTTTATCCCACTTTCCACTGTAATATGTACATCATTCCAGCAAAAATATTACATTTCCATATTTATTTCCGAGAATATATTCATTCAGTCACAGTTAAGGTAAAATATACTTGTGATGTAATATTTTAATGAAAATAAGGTATCGTAGTTTTCTTTTGTTTCAAATTTAATTAACAAAGATTGATGTTTCAAATGTAATGAACAAAAATTTATGTACAGTATCTATAAATACACTTTAATAAATGAATACTTTGTTTTACATCGTCCTGTGCTACCATACCATGGATTTGGCTACTTTGGGCTTGCTATGATGACGCAAGAGATCTGCCCTGGCAACTGTACCGACACTCACAGCTGGTGGTGCATTGGTGCGTCGTTTCCATTGTTTACTGGTAGTTACTGGTAAATAGTTTTCAACCTAACGAAACTATTACCCGTTTAGAGGTCGACCCCCAATTTTTTGCCAAATAATTTGGTCTTAAAAACTCGAACTACACGCAGGTATACTGTATACGGTAAATAAGGACATGGGGGGCCAGGGTTTTTTTTTTTGGGGGGGGGAGCAAAAATACGCGGATTTTTAACATCCACGGGTATCTCTGTTACATAACCCCAGCGTATGTTAAGGGCCGACTGTATACTGTAAAATTTGTGTTTTTAGAGTACAGTGTACAATATAGTGACTGCACATTTTTTCTTTTTTTAAAAGGACATCAGCCAATCAGAAGGCCACCAGAACAACCATGGGTGATCTAGAATTCCAAGCTTGAGTTAGATTATGTGATAAAAAATATATAACATCGGATTACTTACACATTGAAGTATGATTGAGCATTGTCATTTTCTGGGACAGTGTAGGAGGAGCTCACACTCTGCTCCATCCACCATCTCATCGTCTGAAAAGTTGGTCAATGTAAGTTATAGAAATAAATTGTGTACTGTAGGATATTTTGGGGTGTAGTAGCACTGGAGACTGGCAGCTAAGTCATACATACACAAGAAAAAGAAAAATTATACTTTACAACTTGATACATATTGACACACAAAACTTCATTCATTACAATTTGATTTGTAATGATGCATAGAAATTTATCCACTACAATTGTATGCAGTGGCATATAGAAGTTTATTAATTTTACAATGAGATAAAAAAGCAACAGTCATACCTCTTGCTCGAGGTTCCTTATTTTCTCTTCTCTGGATAATCCATTTGCAGTCTGTTGCTGGCTGTCTCTGGTGTCATGGTAATCAGATGCATAATTATCAAATGTATCTGATGTATGCACTACCTGTAGAAAAAAATAAAGAATACAGGGGTATTAAAAATAAAATACAGTATCAGAAAATTTATAGCAGATTTTCCATAAAAAAAAAGAACTGCCATTGTTACAAATCGTTGAGTGGTTACCTACGAGTGTGTTGGTATGTGTGCTCTATTTGGTGGCTGGGTTTTTTGTTAGCATTTCTAAATGTTATAATGGTATATGATGTTATTGTATCTGGTGCTGATGATATATAATGTTGTTATATGATGATTTATGTAATGTATTATGACTAGACATATTAAGTTCCACTTTAAACAGCTGTAGACTCGTGATTCCTCGGTCTGGCTGCTGGGAAGATGCAGACACAGCCAGGGTAAGGCAGACATATGTATATTGTGGAACACTTTTTCAGGTTTTGTATATCAGTACTGCTCTAGTGTTATATTTGTGTACTGATAAGTCAAGGATTACATTGCTGTGACTGTAGCTTTGTCATTAAGATTTGAACCAGAAAATTAGGATGATTCAACGCCCAGCTTATGCTCTACTTTATACAAGTATCCCTCATTTAATGATGGAATGCTTTCTTGTAAACCTAAAGTTAAGCGAATTTACAGCTAAATGAGGAAAAACACGGAGAATTCGTTACAATAATAAACTACAGTACAGGCATCCCTATGTTCAGGAATCTCTGTTAAAGGAATTTTTAAATTGTGACCATAATTTGGGGTTACGGAAAAATATCGCCATTACAGAATTTGGGTAAATTTTAAAAAAATGAACAAAATCTTGATTTCTAACCACAATTTATAAACAATTTTGTGTGGATTCTCTGTGGTGGCCACAAGGCAGTTGGAAGACCACTCACCTACCAGTTGCCTGCATTCACCACAACAATGGATGTATAATATATACAGTACAGGGTACTATTTTCTATAAAAAATAAATTGAATTTATGTATATGTAATGTATTTTATGGGGCAAAGGGAGGCTGAGGAACGTTACTCCCATATTTTATCTATTTCCTATGGGAAAATTGATTCCGTTATCGCCACGGTTTTCAAGAACGGAACAACAACGTTAAGCGAGGACTTACTGTAATGCGTCTATCGGTTTCTTTGGTAACACTGCGTTTGCAGCACTGCCAGACGCTACTGAACAGCTGATATCTATCCATAAAATTGAGTGTAAGTATAGATGAGCAACATTGTATCCCTTCAACATTATGTTACATAGCATTTAAAATATGGAGAGACAAATCAGAAAGGTAGGGGCGATTAGAGAGATCGAATGGAAGGGAGTGGTAACACACACCAGGTGTTGCCAAGTGCTCCTCAACAGCTGATCTCCAACCCACCACCAGACACTGTGCTTCAGTTAACTACACACAAATTTATGTCATACAATAAGACCTATATTTAACATGACAACTTTGTGGTTGTCATGGCTGAAGCATTTATCTTGTTAGAATTTTTAACAATGGTTCTAACAGTCAATGTAGCCAAGTTGAAAGCAGCACCGACATCCACCTGACGCTCACCAGCTTCCAACTGCCTCATCACTTGTAATTTTACATCCAAGGAGATACTTTTCCATGGCCCTTTAGATGCACTAACAGCATAAAACTTGCAGGCTGTTTTCCAGACATGATGAGTAAAAAATAGCCATTAATATTAAAAAATCAAGAAGTCAACAAGAATGTGTCCATGTAAGTGCAGCAAATTTGTACTGTACTGTAAACAGAGCACTTGGCGCTGATTGGTCAAGTGCGTAAAAACAAAGAGAGTTGCACTTTGCATGTTCGGACTCATAACTTATGACTACTTTTATGAATTTTTTCCCCTTAGAGCTTCAAGATGAAAGCAAGAGCAGTATAACAAAATAGCACTCTACAGGGTAGTGCTAACTGAGGTATTATTTGGTTTGCTTCATTTTGTAAACATGATATTAGTATCACTCTGCATCATTCATCAATAGCATCGTCAGCTCATATTAATAAATATTCTCCATTCCATCTCGTGTGTCTAACATTTTGACCTGAATCACTCTGCTTTGTTACCAGTTCCACAGTGTGTTTTGGTGGGGAGGTTTAGCACAGCGACTCACCATCAAGTAAGGGGGAACAGTCTAACCCCAACAGTATATATATAAATATTATAGGCAGTGCTCTACAAGGTCTCCCATCAACAACTGGGAGTTAAGTTTTCTTTTATATCAAGTTAACCGACTACTCCTGTTCTCTCCGAGGAAAATCTTGCCCCTCCAAGGTTTTGAAATGACCTCCTAACTTACACAGCAGCATTAACCACTTGTAGTAGAGACAGAAAGAGCAAACTATTATACAGTTCAACACAAAGAACCTGATGTGAAACTAAAAGTAAAGAATACAAAAACATAATGCCCCTCAGCATAAAAAACAATTACAATCGAAGACCAAGTAAAACATACCTCATACTGCCCGGTACATTTCTCACTCTGCAGAGGTACATCAAACTCTTGATCACCGGTTTTGCTGTCTTCCTCATCCTCAGTGCTCTGTGGGGTGGGTTTTACCTCTGGTACTTCAGTTACATCCACCCACTCGTCATCTTTCATAATTTCAAGACCAAGAGCCCCACGTTCACTCTCTGGTACTTCATCTGTTGTGGGAGCTTTTGGGGCCATCTTTTCCTATATTATATAGAGATGACTTCAGATGATGTAACAAGTATTATTATGATAAACTGTAATAAATATTATGATGATGTAACAAGGTTCAAGATGAAGTTACAAATATTATTATGATGTAACAAATATTATGATGATATACATATATGTATGAAAAGAAAGAGGGAGAGAGAGAGAGCAGTGTTTACCTATTTTTCTTATCTATACATGGGGGTTATTCCTCTTCCACAATGTGTGGGGTGAATCAAGTGATACAGAAACAATAAAGAAAGAAAGGAAATGTTAGGTGAAATGTCTGCAAAACAAGCATAGGTGGCCCTAGGAGAGGACACTGACTATCCCTTAACTACAAACATCCTGTCAAGTGATATATTTCATCCCAGCAATAAAATATAACCACATGTCTTCTATACTTAATACTCATCACCTGCAACATAAACTACCAATCACAGAACATCTCCAACATCAGATTAATCTCAACTGTTTCACTGTAAGACAAAAACGTACCTTAATCTTTGTGGGCAGATGATTAACAAGGTGTTGATACAGGTCATCTGACATGGGACAACGGCCAAGAATGTGAGCGATCCAACAAGCTTTGCATCGACTTTTTGAGTTATCTCCAAGCACATAACAACTTAAAGGAAAAAAAAAATTAATTAACTTTTTCCTAACTTGGTGCCTTATGTTGAAATGGTTAAAAAGTAATTTTCATCAAAAACTAGTAACTTGAGGAGTACAAGAGAACTTGAATAAGATATAGGTTACTAAGTTAACACAGCTACACCGGGTTTCAAGACTATAATATCCTGAGTGAATCACGTCCTATGGGAAGTATATATTTACATGTTTATTTACATACTCAGACTTGAGTTATATGTAGAGAAAACAATTACAATTTGTTAAAATTTATTAGTTTTTATTAGAAAAACTTACTCCTTATAAATATCAACACCATCTATAAATCATTTACCATTTCTAACCTAAAATACTGTCCAATGACAAATGTGATAATCTTGGTAGCTTGATGCAATTGTTTCATCAGCAAAGCCACCCCCCCTTTATCTCAATTTAACGGCAAATTGGAAACGGCACAGTCGAGGTCCCATCGATGCTGTTAAATTGATGTTCAACCTGTACTGTACACTACAATATTACTGAAGTGCTGATAAAAACACTACAATAGTTATTATTTATTAAGTGATGATAAATACTCTCCAGTACTGTACCAATTTACTAAGTGCTGAAAACAAATGCTGTGGCAAGCATAAGTGGTGAAGGAGCTAAACTGATCAGACGTTTACCTATTGTAAACAAACGACTCATGGTACTGAGTGTGGGATTCTTTTTTCAGTTAAGTTGATGTTTTTAAGATAACATTTTATCAACCTGGCACCAAATGAACCTAAATGATATGAAAATTATTATGAAATTGCATCAAGACGTGTTGAAGGGATCAAGGGGGAGGGAGCTCTACCTCCTCCACCTGCTGCTCCCAGAGCACTCATCTCCCACACACAAAATACAACTACATTTATTTTTGTCTAATGTTTTCTTTATAGTACTTTACAGTACAGTAGAACGTCACGATATAACTATATAACACGAGATACTAGATACGTTCCAAGAGAAGTCGCTGTAAACTGAATTCGCACTAAATCGAAGTGTTGTTTCAATGGAATAATTTAGTTTGGTACTTGAGAGAAACACAAAACACTAAAAAGACTGACAGTCTACCCAGATGCACCTCAACCTATCTCTTAGAATAAACAAAACATATGTTTTTTTGTAGTATTATGTTAAAACAAACACTCATAAATCAACACAGCTAAAATTAAGGGATGTGAAATGGTCTGTTTACTGGCTGGGAAGATGGGGGGAAGGGAGGGAGGTGAGATGATATGTTTGACAGTTGATGCCAAGGTCTAGTGCTTATATATTTATCTGTCCTTAAGAGTGACTTTAAGTTTTTTCTTATAAAATGTCACTGAAATGACTTGGGAGAATATAATTAACATTGCTGGAATTCTTATAAGACAGTGATTAATATGAATATAAACATTTTATAGCTCGCATTAGACATACAAATTTTAGTTCTAATTTAAGAATTTTACTACAAAGAGCAAATTTTTTTATCTCGTGTGCAAAATATATGACGTATATATTCAAATTATTCGCTGTCTTGCAAGGATTCCAGCAATACAAATTATATTCTCCTAACTTTAGTCTGTGATATTATATAAGATAAAACCTTTAAGCCTAAAGCACCAAACCCAGGCTGGGAAGATGGGGGGAGAGGGGAGGGGAGTGACAGAGACATGTTTGACAGTTGGTGCTGAAGGTCTAGTGAGTATTTATATGTTTATTTATGTCCTTTAGCTTGAGTTATAAAATGTCACAGAAGTGACCGGGGAGAATATAATTTACATTGCCGGAATTCTTATAAGATAGTGATTAATTTGAATATAAACATGCTGTAGTTTACACGAGACAAAGATTTTAGTAGTACATTATTTTAAATACATGTACAGTACAGCTTTGCCCTTAGGACAGTGTAGCGTGCCCAGAGAAACATTAGGCGCAAAATTTTAAATATGATGCGCCAGATTGACTTGCACAAAATAGGAAAGATTCGCTTTAAATTACAACATTGTCCTTAATTGTGAGTGTCACTTTAAATCAATAAACATTAAATTGAATCGCTTTAAATCAATGTTCTATTGTACAGGTGCTCCTCTACTTAAGAACGTTAAACTCACACAATTTCAGAGATACTGTACAAACATCATCACTGAGGGGAGGTTACCTGCCAGAACAGGTGTTTGATGTGGATGAGACTGGATTATTTTGAAGAAAATTCCAGATAGAACAAACATTACCTAAGAGGAGAAGAGTGAGCCAGGTTTTAAGGCTGTATTAAAGGGTATAGCTGTACTAAATATCCATAATCTTTTCATTTTTTACAATATGTTTGGTATCTACACGAGTAAAGTTGGACTTACAAAACAATTGGACTTACAAACAAGCCTCAGGAACATAACTCGTTCGTAAGTAAAGGAGCACCTAAATACTGTATAACACTTTACAGTACAGTACATAACAATCATCTCGGTGAAAACAGTTGTCGGCAATCAGAGCGTTCTGTTTCATATATTTTATTGCTGATGTAATACTGTAGTGTTTTAATAACCTTGTTATACATTTTAACAATTGATTTTCTTAAAACTCGATTTTTTTCAGACTTTCGCATTTTTCGGACTGGTCTCTAGCCCAATTAGTCCAATTTATCGAGGTTTTGGAACAGTTCAAGCGCAGTTTTTGGCCTCTGGAACCTAAAATTACTTCCATTTATATTAATCAAAACCAAAATTTGTGATTTGATAAATCCTAACAACATAAAAAACTTAAATGATAGCCATTCTGAGTGGGTATAAGCTGTAGGGATGGCAGCCAATGTCATATGGGGGCAGAGTAGGGTAACCCTAGCTGCTGTTTAAGGGTTTACAGCTTATAAATTCCATTGTCCTTAACAGATCATATTAAAATATATTACTGGACTGTGTATTTAAATACACACAGGAACAAAAACAAATCAAAACTCAAACTAAAAGTAAAAGAAAGGCAATTAGTCAAAGGTGTTCTCCTAATCTAAGGAGCTGTAGAGTCTCCTTTCTCAAATCAATACAAATTCCCAAATGATATCCACCTATTACTGAATTTGCATTTCAAAAGACAATCAACATTTAAACTGAACCAAACTGTTGGTTCATACACACCTGCCTTGATCCTTGCAACGTAAAATATACGGCTGCCTTTTAAATTTTTGATAGCAGTGTCGACATGCCTCACATGCTAAGACAGTTCCTCCAATGCGTGTCACTCCTCTGTGGATTGAGTAATAGCGATTTTCTTTGCAAATTCCACAAAAAACTCGTACTCTCTTTGAGGCAGTTTTTCCTTCCTCAGTACCTGAAAGGAAATTGTTTAATGAAACATTAAATTTGCCACAGAAAATTTAAATTACTGAAATACTGAAATTCTTAAATCCAAAAACAAAATCATTTGATCAGAAAACATAAACATGTGTAAATTACTAAATTTCCCTCTACCTGCATAATGTGAATTATCAGCATAAGTTAGTGTCAAAATGCCTTTAATAAATAAAAGAATCTAAATCAAATACCTGCATTCCTGTATCTATCACAATGTACACAGTAATGCACAAGATTTTACATTTATCAAAGTTAAGGGCCACAGTTTTATACCACCTTAATCCTATTGATTAGGCTAATTTTTGTTGGGGTCTACTAGGAATTGGGACCATCTGACCAGTAAAGTATGCAAAGCAAAGAAAAACAACTTCATGAAATATATGAAACAAAGAAAATTTACTAATAAAAATGATGGATGGAAAAATGAAATCCCATATCATGTCTAATGAAAAAATGAGTCACCAGCGAGATCCATATTGTCAAAACCTATTCTGGTCTAACCTGCATCATGCCAAAGGACCTCAACATGTTTAACAGCAGGAGACACAATCCTGATGGACAAGTTAAGATATTGTTTCTATTGAAAGCAGCACTTTCTAACCTAGGTATATCAGGGTCAGTGATTTGAGTCCAACTTAATCTGGTACCCTTTTAGTGAGGCTTTGGGACTGAGATTTAACCCTTAAACAGCAATCAATATTACTGGAAATTAGCTGTAGGAATGGTAGCCATACCAGTGGATGCTTCATGTTACTTATGCTCCATTTTTGGACATAAAGAGACAGAGTAGGGAATCCTTAGCTGCCAAATAAGGATTACACATAAAATGGAGCCCAGGCAATTCTAAATCTTTAAGCTATAGAATGAAATACATACACCATATCCATCACTTCCTAGCATTTTCTACTCACACCAAAAGAGGAGAGAACACCGAATCACTCATTTCTTCTTGTCTTCAAATGCCATTTCATACTACAACCCCCTTTTTATTACCTACATGAGCATCAATAAGTGACCTGTGATATTCTGAGCTAACTGGGAATATGATGGAGGAAGTTATCTGACAACAGAGAATTCTGTTAGCCCCTTAATGAAACATTCACCCCATATAGAAAGAAAAGGATATACTGTACTGGTGTTGCACTCTACTGTTCATTCTACAGTTACCTAGATAAGTGTTCACGAGCTAGTTCAGGATCCTTATATTATCCAAAATTCCTCTGTTCACATTGTTCTTGATAAATTTATTTTCAAAACCTTCAAAACCATGTGCTCTAGTAGTCATGCAGTGAGGTTGGGAACCCTTTCTTGTAATATTTGGATCACATGAAGATTGACCCCCAGCTTAGTTCACCTGATTATACAACACCCTAATGCTACTTGGAGAGGGAAGGTAAGGTTAAGTTAGGTTAGAGATTAGGTTAGGTTACATTAGGCTAGATTATGTTATTACCAGTAGAGGTTAGGTTAATCTTAAGATGAACGAAACTGGAGGGCCTATTTTTGGGGGTTCTAAATCTATTATACAGTTGCTGTTAAAAATATGTCAAAGTCATCTGGTATTGGGTAGACTAGGCCAGAGGAAACTGTAGTAGCAGCAATGGCTACTTCTCAGGGCACTGTTGAGGCCCTGTAGGTCACAAACATACCAGTATTATTTACTTACCTATCACATTGAGATAAGAGGGCATAAGGACTGCTGGTATCCGCAAATTACCCTCATTAGTTTCCATATTTTTTTCGTCTTTTCCCATCTGGTGACCTCTCGGTACAAACAATGTATAAATTCCACCCTAAAACAGAAGAAAACAGTAATTATTATACCTTGTCAGCTCTCTGAAGAACACTTTAGCTATGGTAATCTATCTAAAAAAGCTTAATATCCTTTAAGGTTAATATTGACGATTAACCCACCGACGCATTATTTGTTTTTATGTTTATTTTCTTACCATATTTTCATCAGTGAGTTCTGGTATGAGAAATTATTTCTTGTGAAAATTCTTCGTTTGGTAGATAATGAGGTACCTTGCGCGCTCTACCTTGTTTTCTCGGTGGTGATGCAGTGGGAATGCTGTATCCGGGATGTAAACAGCCAATCATACTGACGTATTTCAAAACATTCCGCTGCCGGGGGCCGGATCGACGCCGATGCTGAGTGCATGCTTATAAGCCGTTCAGTCTGAGCAGCTGCTTTCACGTACATAAAAAATGCAAAATTACACCAAACCATAGTAAGTTCTTTCTGTTTAATATACCGGGGGGGGGGGAGCGGGGCGGCAGAGTCATACAGCTAGGAAGTTAGGTAAGGTTAGGTAGGTTTCTTTGGTTAGGTTGATGAGGTCTTCTAACAACGCAATCTGCCGCTTGTTTTCTTATCAACTAAGGTTAGGTTTACTTTAGAAATAAACACTTTTTAACACATTTGCATAAACTATGACAGTGTCCACTATAAAACACAGTGAAATTGGGGCGCTTTTAAAATCGTTTTATATGAAAAATCAGGGGAGGGTAAGTGATCAATATTTAACTCCTTCAGTTTTCCATAATGTGAATCATCAATATCTTTTGTTTTTAATTTGTTATATATAATACAATATTAGGGTTTCGAATCATATATGTTTCCATGGAAAGAAAAACACCAAATGAACTGTTTATGAACAAAAGCAATGACACAGAGCAACCAAGCCTGACATAACCAAACTTGTTAGGCTTATTATGTTTAACTTTACAAGACTTTCTACAAGGGTGATCAGTAACAAGGTTAGGTTAAGTTAAGTTTTGCCTGTAGTTTCTTAGGAAAAATCATTACAAATACTGGCAATCATCCCAATTACCTCAGTCGTAAGGGGTCCGACTAATTACCAAAATGAACCCAAATTGACCCAAATGTAGCCGCAAAGAAGTCAAATGATGGTCCTACAAGAATAAATCGGGCTGTGAATCACTTCTCGACTAGTATTTGGTGTCACAAAGTCACAAAAAATTGGAAAACTTAATTTAATATGAGTTAATAGATCGAATGCATGTACCTAACCTAACCCAACTCAACTCAGATTAAATTAAGTTTACCAATTTTTTGTGACTTTATGACACCAAATACTAATCGAGAAGTGATTCACAGCCCGATTTACGCTTGTATGACCATCATTTGACTTTATTGTGGCTACATTTGGGTCAATTTGGGTTCATTTTGGTAATTAGTTGGACTGAGTCATACTAATCTGCCACTTACTGTACTTGGTACCAAAATATTAAAATAAAATACTAAACTTGTTTAAGTGAGAGTATCTTAATTATAAATTTTCATAGGAAATTAGAATTATAAAAAGCCACACAGATTGTAATGTTATATAAACATATTTTTGGGCACAAAAATAAAATAAATATTTATTGTTTCACGCCCATCACTCAACACGTAGGGAGCAGATTTCAGCATCAAACACCAAATATTTTCAATATTATGAAGCTAAGAGCCTTTACATAACATATTTAATATGTGCCATATATCAAAATTATATTATAAATAAAATCTGTGACATTTTGTAATGGCTACAAGGGAAACTTAAACAAAAATTCTCAATGGAAGGAGCAAAGGCTACTTAGCATAATGTATTCCCTATATCATATAATTTAATTAGTGCACCACGTCACACCAGAATCATACTTACTGTGTGTTTTTGGAAAGACTACCCCTTAAATCCTCCCAAACTCTGTGTAAATCATTAACAATAGTCAATACATCAATGTGGAGTGCGGGAGAACAGCTTGTAAACAAACACCTCACGCGTTCATAACTAACACATAAACAACCACAACACCCTAATAAAAACAACAAAATTGTTTTATACACTATTTTAAATATAATAAAATATTTAACTCTGATTTATCATAAATAATACTTATTTTTTTTTACTAGACAGAAAGAGAAATAAATATTTTAGTGGTGGTGAATGCAGTGTTCGAACCACCCCAGAGGAGGAACGTGAATGGCTTCGGATAAAAGCGGTCGATGTTTCATGAACGCCAAACCTCACTCCGTTCAATGACCGCAAAACTCACTGGCGGACGCTAACCCTAAGCATTCGTGGTTACACTAATATCCATTCGTTGATAAAAGATTATGCTAAGGCTTCATGTGGTATTAAGTCCATTTTGATAATGGAAAAAAAATTATGTACAGGAAGAGGAGGAAGTGTTCCGTTTCCGGTGAGAAGTTACCAACCTCGACACACTTCCGCCGCACCACTAAAGTTTTTATTTAATATGAAGATAAAAAAAATATATAGGAATGGAAATACTGAAAACCTGACATGATATTTATTTCACAAGTAATAGGTAGTAGGCAGCTACAAACCAGGGAGGTATTGGAAGATATTGGAAGCATAATGTGTTGTCTAATGGTAGACCCTGCTGCCGTATGTGACCAAGTCCCAGGTTGGTGATCTGACTTTCTGCCTCATTTACACACAGTTGCAGGGTCTCAGTTGTTTCTCTTACTAATGACAACACAACATTCATATATTGTTTCTCACTATTGATCTTTTTTTAACTTTTGTATTTCTTTATTATTATTATTATTATTATTATTATTAGTGTTATTATTATTAGTGTTATTATTATTAGTGTTATTATTATTAGTGTTATTATTATTAGTGTTATTATTATTATTATTGTTAATATTATTGTACTATTTTATTATAAATCTTATTTACTATGAATTATTATTATTATTATTATTATTATTACATTTTCGCCCCTAGGACCCCAATGTGGGTCAGTGACCTGTGCCCGGGTGGGCTAATCCCCGTAAAAAAATAATAATAATAATGATAATAATAATAATCTTGCTCGGAAATTCAGGGCGACATAATTAGTGAAAGTTGATATGCTACACCGCTGCTCCCGGACTATTGCCAAACATCTATCTTTTTATCTATCTATCAGTCTTCATATCAATTAAGCAATCGGAATATCTATCTGTCTATCTATCTATCTATCTATCTATCTATCTATCTATCTATCTTTCTATCTATCTATCTATCTAGTGTGGTAGTAACCCTGGTGGAACAAGCTTAGCAACTTTGTAGTAAGTGCTGGAACGCTGGAAAGTTTCCTAAAGGAGGCTAGATAGATTCATGGGTGATAGAGAGTGGTAGTAACTCTCGACAGGAGCTGCCATGCACAGGCCAACCGGCCTATTGCAGACTCCTTATTTTCTTATGTTCTTATAGTGTGGTAGTGACCCTGGTAGTGTGGTAGTGACTGTGGTAGTGTGGTAGTGACTGTGGTAGTGTGGTAGTGACCCTGGTAGTGTGGTAGTGACCCTGGTAGTGTGGTAGTGACCCTGGTAGTGTGGTAGTGACTGTGGTAGTGTGGTAGTGACCCTGGTAGTGTGGTAGTGACCCTGGTTGTGTGGTAGTGACCCTGGTAGTGTGGTAGTGACCCTGGTTGTGTGGTAGTGACCCTGTAGTGTGGTAGTGACCCTGGTAGTGTGTTAGTGAGTGTGTGTAGTGACCTGTAGTGTGGTAGTGAGTGTGGTAGTGACCCCTGATGAGTAGTGTGTAGTGTGGTAGTGACCCTGGTAGTGTGGTAGTGACCCTGGTTGTGTGGTAGTGACCCTGGTAGTGTGGTAGTGACCCTGGTAGTGTGGTAATAACAGGTGGCACAGCTCCCAGGGTGATGATAGTGGAGGCGTCTGTGTAGGAAACTAATATTTCATAATAACTTTTCGAGCTAAAATATATTGAAACGTAAGGTAACTATTTTTTATTGTATTTTCACCTACCATTCATTCCTTTCTCTCTTTGTATGTATGTATGTATGTATGTATGTATGTATGTATGTATGTATGTATGTATGTATGCATGTATGTATGTATGTATGTATGTATGTATGTATGTATGTATGTATGTATGCTTAACGGCATTTATCAAGTCATTATAGAAGCAACCCCAAACTTACAGTATAGAGTTTTACATGATAATACAGTGAGTGGTTATATTTTGTTTTCAGGTTAAATCTAATTTTTTTACCGCACTGAGAGCTGGATGAATGTTTTCTTTTTAGCAGAATTTAACATATAGTGTAAATTCTAAATTTATGTCTATAAGCGGCAAGAACATAGATTTTTTTTTTGGCTGAAATTATCTCTGTAAGTTGTAATACTACGTTTATTCTTGGTAAATTTAACGTATCAGCAAGAGAATATTAACCTTTTATTTAACATCTGGGGTAGAAATTTTACATTTTATCAAAGACCACGATGTTAAATTTAACATTCCCCCCCCCCCCCGCCCCCCTGCACGAGTCTTTATGCCGGGGTTCGTATCTCAATGACCAGCTGGCCGAGTCTCACACACAGTTGCCAGAAATAACATCAAAACACCTTCTAATGCTTTCACTTAACGCAAATTTATTCTCATATCAAACTCATATAATAATTTTGGTGTTAAGGGATGATACATTTAGCGTGAAATTGTTGAAAATTATAAATAAAATATAGCTGGGATGTGGTGAAGGTTGGTAAGTGGTGTGTGTGGGTGTCAGTGTGTGAGGTTGAAGAGGGTGTGTGTGTGTGTGTAGCCAGCTGATGATGGGTGTACGTACGTTGCTCTGTCTTCTCTCCGCCTCCGCTCTCATCCAATATGGTAAGATTATATCACCTGAAGATTAGACACCCAAGCTTATTTCAATTGAAGATTAACCTCCCTAGAGCTCACTTTACGTAACATAATCTAAATTATCTAATCTAATCTAACAGTAACGATAACCAAACTGAAACTTAACCTAACCTAACCCAACCTAACACCAACGCTGATCTAAACTAACCTAACTTAACCTAACCTAACCCCTCAAAGTAGCATTAGAGTGGTTAATCTTCAAGCAAAATAAGGTAGGGTGTCTTATCTTTAGGTAAACCGTAATTTCGTTAATTCTTTCACTTTATCACTACTATAATCTTACATACTGATTTGTTCTTATGCCCACCATGCAATTGTACTATTCCAGATGATACTAAATGTTACATAATACTTCCTTGAGATAAATGTACAGTATATATCAGGTGCCTACAAGAGAGCTCAGGCTCTCAACTGGCTCAGCCATGTTAATATTGTTATTATTATCCACCTGTTACTTACTTACCCCTTAACTACCTCTACCTCTTACTTACCTCTACCCCTTGCCTCCTTATTAACTACCTCTACCTCTTACTTACCTCTACCCCTTACCTCCTTATTAACTACCTCTACGCCTTACCTACCCCTTACCTATCTCTACCCCTTAACTACCTCCACCTCTTAACTCTCCCCCTTAACTACCTTCCTCTACCCCTTCAGGAGCGGCGGGGGAGCCCTGGAACGAGAAGGACTCCGCCAGTAATGCGATAGACGACCAAATCATCAAGGCGTTGGAGAGCTTCAGGGAACACATGTCGAGTGGTTGGCCCGAGCTGGGTATACCTGTACTCGACCCTCTCCTTCTGCCCGAGGTCGACCTTAACATCACCGCTGGCAACATTGAGTAAGTGTGTGTGTGTGTGTGTCCAATAAATATATCTATTAATCTATCAAAAAGACAATCAATTTCATCAATCAATCAATCTCCTCTTTATTTACTTATCAATCCCTCAACCAGACAACCAGTTATCAGTTTATGAATCAAATAAGCATTCTACTCATCCATCAATCCATACAACGACCAATCAAGCTATTCCTTTATCAGTCCATCCATCAATAAATCTATCAGCCAACCTGTCTATCCCTCTCTCTCTCTCTCTCTCTCTCTCTCTCTCTCTCTCTCTATCCTTTTTACAGTTATCATAATTTAGTTAACTTATCTATCCCCTATTCAATTCTCTCCCTCTCCTAGCCTGAAGATGAACCTATCTGATGTCGTGATCAACAACCTGTCTAACTTCACTATCGACCGCGTCCATAGTAACTTACTCTTCCTCAAGGTCGACATCGATCTCGGCCTTGCACAACTCGACGTCGATGGCCTCTACGATATCCTCGGAACTATTGGAGTTTTTCCCGTCTTTGGAGAGGGACCCTTCTTGTAAGTGAGAGAGAGAAAGAGGAAGATAAGGAGGGGGGTGGGGGGGTGAAAGAGGCACAGTAGTAGAGATAATGAGAGGGAGAAGTGGAAGACTCAGGAAATGCAGAAGTATAGTTAGCTGGAGGAGTTTGTAGCCCTGGAATTCAGTCCCACATAGTTTGTAGTCTCGAATGGTTGTTCTATATTGTAGTCCCACGCAGACTGTTAATAGCCCTCACATTCTGGCTCCATATATCTTAATACCTCATCAAGAGAGTAGTTTGACATAGGCTGTAGTCCTAAAAAGTAGCTCCTGACAGTAATCCGTCAGGGAGTGTAGCATAACAACATCGCCGCTCCCCCACAGGCTGGACGCGTTCGACCTGACCTTCAGCGTGGAGGTGGGACTCGGACGTGATGAGTACGATGAGCTGGGCGTTACAATCCTCACCATGTATGTCGACCTCAACACGACGGAGGTGAGTGACGCAGGGGTCAGATGTTTAAATGGATCGTGCGTATCTTGAGATGTGAGAATGTATTTAACTGGTTCCCTTCAGCTAGTATTCAAGATGGATTCTCAAAGGTACATATGATAGATCTATTATTCCTAAACATGGATGTGAGAATGCAACTATCTGGTTCTTTTAAGGTATGACAAATTTGTGAATGCTGCTGTTGGAACGCATCCAAATTACTACTTACGCTACGGCATAAGTTCTCGTACGTGGAAATGTAATTTTATATTTGACTGCCTCACGTAATCTATAACACAAATATGGATACAAAATCTTCCAGTTTAGTGAAGAAAAGTCTACATTACTGCAGGATAGAGTGACGTATCATCCTGAGTACAGTGAAGTTATCCTGCGAGTAAACAATCCTTACTCCTCAGGTCGACTTTGAGAACATCATGGGAGGCGGGGACATGGCCGACTTCGTCAATGGAGTCCTGAGTTCCCTGGCACCAGATATCCTGCAGTCCCTGGAGGAGGAGTACCTACCCTTCCTGGAGGAGGCGCTGAAGCACGAGATCAATACAATCCTACATGGAGGGTGAGTACTTGGAGTGTCTCCAGGACGACGCCTATGTGGGGACACAGGGAGAGAGGGTACGGGAGGAGAGGGAGGAGGTGAATAGAGGATAGAATGAAAGCTAAAAAGAACTCAAGGAAAATAGGGCCAAGGAAGATCTAATCTTAACAAGTCCTATAATCAACATTGGTATTACAGTGTATATATCTCTCACTCAATGTCCAGGGTTCGAGTTCTGACCCTGGACAACTGTGGGAAGGGTGTACTGTTATCCACGGTGACCCTACCAATCATCGCAGGTTTCAGTCGCGGATTAACATAAGGTAAACGTTACCAGTTTCCCCGGGCCCCCAGGTGTGAGGGGACCAAGGTCCAACGATAAATATCCCAACATTTTCTGTCCCTGTAAGGAAATGATTTCTTCATATATTGTATACAGTAGTTGATGGAAGATATGCTGGTACAGAAATACATATATTTGAGTAAATATTAATTTAATTCAACATCAATTTACCTATTTAGTGATGTGCAGACAAATACAAAAGGTTTGCGGGGCATTTGGACGTGAAGTTTTTACTAACACCATGGCAATTTCTCAGTGACTTGCAAACGGACAGGTTTGGTATTTTCGTGTTGAATATAGCTTTGTCGGTGATTTACTATAATTTAGCATTAATTAGTATTAGCATTAGCGAAAACCTTAGCATAATAGAAGGAAATTTGGCATCCGATTCGAAATTTTAAATTTAAGAACTTATGGGAGCGATCGTGGACAGAAACAGCTTATGTTATAATGTAGCCACAGAGGCATTTTTTTAATAGCAGGCTACTAGCTTGGTATGTGTAATTATACATTATTATTTTGATATATTGAAGGGGGGGGGGCCCCTTGTCGCTGCATTTCCCCAGGGGCCCCCGCCTGTTGTCAATCCGCCCCTGCCAACACTGGACAATAATGTTCATAACCAAATAACAAATAACAGACTAGCCGTCCGAATGGCTAGTAGATATAAATGGTGGAATGATATATTAAATAATGATAATAATAATTTGTTCTACGGGGTTATTAGTTTTCCTCAGTTTCCCTTCTGAGCCTCATGTTTCTCTGACACTTTGGAGACTACTTAAGACCGTTGTTATTTGCAGTTTTGTATCATCAAAAAGAATAAGTTTTACCTCTAAAGTTTGTGATCTTAGTCCTTACATTCTCTACTGACCATTTAACGGGAATGTTAATTTATTATGTCCCTAATATTAAGGAATTACAGCGAAAGCTAAAATAGATTAGTCTACTATTTAAAAATTTTCATTTTCTTTTATGAAAAGTCAAAGAGAATGGAGCGGGATAACTTTAATAATAGTGCAGAAAAAGATGGACAGCATTTATGGTTCATGTTAAAGGACCGAATTTGTAAGTTTGTCTCTCCTGATCTACAAATACTTTACAGGTATAGTTCAATCTCGCTATTTTCGGAGGCGATGTTTTATAATTTGTTGAGGGATATTTTTAACCAGCCTACTCCTCTATACTTTTTTCACTTATTTTCCCACAACTGTCTTATACTGTAATATAGCGGCCCTCCTTTACAGATTGTCACTTCATTTACCCAGAATAATGCAGATAAAATCGATACAGTAAGTCCATAAGGTAATATTGATCAAACCTGGTATTTAAATATATAGCTAACTAATACAACACGCATAAAAACAGCACATTACCTTAGTATGATTCCCACCAAGTAATAATCAATATGTAAAGAATATACAGTAATTGTGGGTTATCATACGGATCTATACAGCAATATCTCGTCTTGTTGTTTCTCGTTATGGATGAAAAGGTTTACTCTTCACCTTGTCTTTCACTCGATGATCGGTTAGGTTAGGTTTCTTGAGAATTATTTTTTATCAGGTTTGTGTTTATTATTGTTCCCACAGGACCAGACTTGGGGACGACAGTATCAACGATTACTTCGATCGTGTGTTCGCCAACATGCGTCAAGGCATCATAGAAAACGGACAGGATCCCCTCGGGCTCCCAGAAGACAGCGATAACTTCACTGTTACGGTAAGCTAGGCATTTGTTCCTATTTCTGATGGCTCCAGTTCTGATTGGCCCTAATCTGATTTAAAATAACAATTAAGATTACGGACCAGTATAGGTCACAAATCTAACAATTATATATATTATTATAAACTATTGAAATTAGGCGAGGGTATCAATTTTTCTGTGTTAAATATTGATCAATAAACTCCTAACACAGCAGAATCAAAGTTAGATTTAGCTAAGATATATTTTACCCGCTAGAAACTATGATTTGTCCCTTATTTTAGACCCCCCCCTACCATTTATCCCTGTTTCCATCTCTCTTTTCCTTCTAGTTCGACTATACATATTTACTTCCGTTTTTTTTTTTTTAATAAATTTCTTTGTTACTTGTATCACTAAAGAATCCCCCGCCTTTCATCTATTCTCTATACGCTCCTCCATCTTCGTTTACCCACCTATCCATCCATCTATCCTATTTTCTGTTCATCTATCCCAGGTCTCCATACATCTATCTACTTTCTTGTTTATCTATCTATTTCTCTGGCCACATATCCATTTATCCATCCATATATCAACCTGCCCATCAATCTATCCACCTCTCATCCATCTCTTCACTTATCCGTCCATCTATCAAATTATCTGTCCGTTTATCCACCTCTACGTTCATCTACCCATTTATCTGTCCACATTTCCACCCATCGATTCACCTCTCAGTCCATCCATCCACATACCCATCCTTCTATTCAATTCTCCGTCCATATATCCACTACCTCATCCATCTGTCTCCCTCCACATCAACCTACTCACTGAAACCAGGAAAAAAGTGAAAAAGAGTCGCAGAAAAAAAACAGGAAAAGGTCACAAAAAGTCACATGAAAAAGTCACATAAAAAAGTCAAGGAAAAAGTCACAAAAAACCTAACCTAACCTAACCTAGCCTAACCTACGTGTTATGCCAACATATATAAATTGTGTTGTCAATATGTACAAGTCATGCATTGTCAGTTAATAAGTGACTTAAAATATTTTTTGTTTTATTACTTTAACTTTTAATGACATTTAAATAAAATGTGACTTTTTTTCCTGTGACTTTATTTCCGTTCACTCACTCACCATCCACCCATCTGCCGCAGCTCTTCAACAAGACTATGGAAGGCGAGGTGTTTGTGGGGGGCGGGCGTCTTGGCGGCCTCTCCACCATTCACAGGGCGGCTGATATGACTCTCTCATATGTGGGCGAGAAGGACGAGGTCATCTGGGGCGGGGAAATTGGCCTCATTGATCTCCAGGTGAGTTCTGGAAAGAGGTCAAACATGGAGTGAGAGGATGTTGGTGAAGTTGATGACAAAGGGAGTTGATGTTTAGTCTGTCACTATATTACTTGACTTCGTACCGTTACGTGACATTGATGCTCGAGCAAAAAGTAAAAAATAAAAAATAAATTTCAAAAGCAGTGAAACTTCTTACAAGAATTACAAGTTTTGATCCATATATATATATATATATATATATATATATATATATATATATATATATATATATATATATATATATATATATATATGCTATAAACACACGAACTTCGTGTTTTCTTTCTTTCTGTGGTTATCAGCATATACCAGATCATGCACCTACAGTGATTTATATATATATATATATATATATATATATATATATATATATATATATATATTTATATATATATATATTTACCAAATGAAAGTATAAGATATGATAAATGATGTTGTTTTCGCACTTCAGCAA